GTAAGGATGGTGCTACCTGTGGCAGAAATAGGAAAGTTTGGAAGAGGGATAGGTTTTGAGGGAAAGATATTGAGTTCTATTTTGGATTAGGGGACATCTTGTTATAAATATCGAATAGGCAGTTGGTGATATACCTCCAAAGAGATACTAGAATTGGATGTATAGGTTTGAGAGTCATCAGCATAAAACATAATGGTTAGTTGATGGTGTGAAACAAAATTCTCCTCTATTGTGCTGTAGTATATTTCTGTATTCATCTAATATTCACAAATTGTGAATAGATTTTTAGTGAATTAATTAAGGTTCTTTTGGTAGTTTTGTGGTGAAAGATGATCATTGATAACACTGTTATTTGCATTATGCCTTGGTCCAGTGGCATCTCAGCAACTCCAGTTGTTCTAATCTTGTCAGTTGTCACAATGATTTACTAAAGAATAGTGATTACTGGCAAAGTTAACTGTAATGGAAACCTAACATGTCTTACTCAAGGTTCTGAGCAGTGCCACTTTGAAAGACTTATATGGTTTTTAAAATTGTGTTTGTGAAAGAGGAAGGTGATTTGTAAATGACTAAAAGGTGAAGTTTATATATAGGATTTTCTTTATAGTTACAGGTTCAAATGTCTTTGGTGGATTCCCTCCTCTAACATTATACAACAGGATTAAGTGTTCATTGGGAGCTCTCGAGCCATATATCTTAATCTGGGTTTGGAAGATGTGAGAGGGAAACAGAGTTAAGGTGAGAAAAATGAGAGCTACTTAGTGAGGAGCGAGCATAGTTTTTGCCTCTCACATTCAGTGGCAAGCAGCTGGCAACTCTGTCTGGGATGAAAAGTCATACTGAGGGAAAAACCTCATTAGCAACAGCAGTTACTTGTGCAAACCAGGAAAGTGTGTGTGTGTGTGTGTGTGCGCGCGCGCGCGCGCGTAGTTTATGTAGGAAAAATGTTTTTATTCACTTCCTCTCAAAATATATGAAAGGAAAATACAAAGTATGTACCAAGGACAATGACTAAATTGGTTTGGCTGGAGCAGGGGGCTCAGGAAGGTAAGTGGAAAGTAGCGGTTCTCTTTCTTTTGGACTTGAAATGAATAAAGAATGGAAGACAAGTAATTTTTAAATTTAGCAAAGCTTTTAATACTATGAAATCAATTCTCATGTGGGTCATCTGAATTATAACTGTCTCTAACAAACCTTGCTTTCACTAATTATTGATAATTGTCATTTACTGTGTTTATTTTAGCTGTTTGATAGAACTAGCATCTTTGCCACAATTTGGAAAGAGGACCTTTTAAAATGATGAATGCTTTCATTATCATCACATCCTAGAAGCCTTATGGCACTTATTATGCCTTGCTTTGGCCTAATGTTTTGTTACAGTGTGAGAGGTAATACTCTTTATTTCTAATTGGAATGAGTAGTAGGAAACAGTTTTGAACATGGATGGGACTATGTGGAGAAAACTGCAAAGCCTTCTTTTAGCTCCAGACTTGTACAGTGTGGTTTTATCTACTTTGAAGTGTTATGAATTCCTATTTTATTAGGCAATCAGTACTAAAATTTAAATGCCCAAATGCATTCCAGAGACAGAATACATCATTTTTGAACTGCCAAACCTTGTTTCAATTCCTCTATTATTAAGAGTTGACTTTTACCAGTTATTGTAAAAATGACGACAGATAGTTTTCCCTCTCCCCTGCCTTTTACGTTTAGAGAATTAACTTAGAACTCTCATTAGAAAATTAATACTTGGCATTTGACTTTTTTCTTGACATATACCTTAACATGCTTTTAAATGTATTTTTTTTTCTTAATAAGCTTGCTTAATAAACATTTTTTATGTGGAAAAGTACTTTTGTGGTATTTTTTCATTTTTGGCAGTATTTTAAGACACACTTTTCCTTCTTTCTTGGTAATTGTTTTAGTTTGGTGACTTTTAATTCAAATCCTGTATAAGTCATATAGATAACCAATTAATCAACAAACATTTATTAATCACCTACTAGTGCTAGAAATACAGTACAAAGAATGAAACTATCCCTACACTCATGGAACTAATATTCTAATCAGGGATACCAGGCTTCAGAGATATATATCTAAACCAATCTGTCTATATGTCTAGTTTCTGTAGCTTAGTTCTGGGCTATCTTTGGCATTATCCTTTTTTGTTACTGAATCAGACCGGTGAGTATTTATGTTCTTAGACTTTTTTCATTGTGTGACTTTACTTTGAAACAAAAAAACAAACCCACAAAAAGGCTCTCTAATCTATTTATTTTTCTCTCATTTTATTTATCAGTTACATGTAAAATATTTTAACATTCGTTTTTTAAAATTTTGAGTTTTGAGTTCCCTCCCTCCCTCCTGTACCACCCCCGTACTTGAGAAGGCAAGCAATTTGATATCAATTATACAATACAGTCATGCAAAACATATTTCCATAATAGCTGCATTGCAAAAGAAAACAGATTAAAAAAAAAACAAGAAAAATAAAGTTAAAAAAAAGTATCCTTCGATCTGTATTCAGATTACATCACTTCTTTTCCTGGGAGTGTGTAGCATTTTTCATCATAAGTCCTTTGTGGGGCAGCTAGGTGGTGCAATGGATAGAGCACTAGCTCTAGACTCAGGAGGACCTGAGTTCAAATTCAGCCTCAGACACTTGACACTTACTAGCCATCCCCTCCCCTTCCAAAAAAAAAAAAAAGTCCTTTGGAATTGTCTTAGATCATTGTATTGCTCAAAATAGCTAAGTCATTCACAGTTGATCATCATACAGTATTTCTATTACTGTGTACGATGTTATCCTGGTTCTGCTCACTTCACTTTGTATCAATTTATTTAAGTCTTTTTGGGTTTTTCTGAAAGCATCATGCTCATCATTTCTTATAGCACCATAGTTTTCCATCACAGTCATATACCACAACTTGTTCAACTACTTCCCTATTGATAGGTATGCCCTCAATTTTCAGTTCTAATTTATTTATACAAAGTTATTTTTCAACTTTAAAAAATACTTTTTGTTATTCTTCTTCTAGGCAGTACTTAGCTTTGTTACACAAACAATTCTGTAACTTTTGTTACATATTCTGTAACTTTTTTTTTCTCTGATCCCTCTTACTGAAATTTGCAAAAGAACAAAGATCTTTAGATGAAAGGCAAGAATTGCATCTATTGTAATGACAATCATTGAAAATAGTGGTATTACTAATTGCAAAGATGAAAGCTTATGAATTGTTCTATGTGTGTTTTCTGATCTCAGAAATTTCTAATATAAGATTTTGTTCTAAAATATTTATCCTTCCTGTAACCAGCTAAAGTGGAAATCCCTTTTTCATATACATGTAAAAGACATCAAAGCTTGAATAAATGCATTTGAAGACCTCAGTAGCTTTACAACTGGCTACTCATGCCCTGTATTTCATTACTCTGTTTTTAAAAGAATTTTTTCTTAAAATTTTCTTAAGTGGTTCGTGATACAGCTTAATTATAGTTTAAAGGACAAACAAAAATAATTATAGAACTCAAAATATAAAGGCTCCCAATATTTTGAGTTTTATCTTTTGTGAGTTAAATCTTGACAGTTGTAAAAAACTGTAGTAGTAGGTTTTGAGGCTAAGCATGTTGCCATAGATATGCCTTTGAACGCCAAGGTTGAAATGTACCTTGCTTTTTCCTTTTCTTGAAGTGCATATGAGGTATCTTCTTCTGAAATAAATTCTTCAGCCATTATTACCCAAGATATTCTGCTATAAACAATAGCAACTTGAAGTTTATTTTGCAGAGCAAAATATCCCAAGTTTATCACAGTTTAACATAAGATTTTGTCTCGTATAAAATCTTGCCCAATGATACTTAAAAAGAAAATACATTTGGAAAGAGTTTTATCTGCTGATTCTTTTAAGTGAAACTGGTAACAATGGTTTTGTTGTTGTTTATTTTTAAAGATATAGCTTTCTTTTGGAAGTAAATCACCAAATTGATCATGAGGTTTTGAGTTTTTGTTTTTGGTAATTGTGTCTGTTGATAATATAGTTGCTATATTTCCACTGTTTTTAATATACCTAAAATAAAATTCCTGTCTGTGGCACTATAGTTTGTTCTTGAAATGATATTATCAGTAGGATTACTCATTTCCTATGAGTGTATACTCCATATGTAAGAGAGCAGTGTGGCATGGTGGATAGAGAATTGGCCTCAAAGCCAGAAAGACCTGGGTTCAAGTCTTGCATCTGACGGACATTGGCCATTTGACCCCGGACAAGATATAACCTCTCAGTGCTTCAGGCAATTCTTAATAGACTAAAAGTTACAGAGAAGGTGTCCATCTGAATTGGTAGAGGACTTTTCCTTGAAATCACAGATTCAATCCCTTTCTCTGTGTCTGTGACTTAGCTCTTTGACTGGCTTCAGTACTTTAAGAATCCATTATTCCACTGGTTTAAATATTCCTTTCACTGATGAAGTTCATAACTCCTTCATGACTTTATGACAACCTGGTAATAAGCCTCTGTATTAGCCAGGCTGTTTCTTAAATGACAAACATACAGTCTGTCATTGGATTTTTGTACACTTTAGTTGAATCTTGTATTAGGTTCTCTCCCAGACACAGAGGTGGGAAGTACAGCCTTTATCTGATGGAGTCATATTGTGAGTGAAGGGAAAATAGCTTAGTGCTAGTGATAAAGAAGGCCCCCATGGTGAGAAGTATTGAGCCTTTGTCAGAGAGGTTTGGGGAAAGAGTTTTAACTTTATTTTTATTCTTTAAATTGAAGTGACTGTGTTTTCTCAAAAGCATGATCTGATCTCAGCTATTAACAGTTAAAATAGGATTGATTTGTATATTTTGCCTTTGGGAACAAATTTTTGTCAATAAAGTGCATCATATAAATCTAAACAAAGGGATAAGTTATAGCACTGAATTTGAAAAAAGCTTATTTTTTAATCTAAGTTGTTGGTGTTTAAATGTTTACTGACATACTTTCGAATTCTTTCTCCAGTTGTGGCTACTGAGGAGGTGGTGACCGCAGAATCAGTAGATGGTGCAATCCAGCAAGTTGTTAGCTCTGGGGGTCAGCAAGTCATCACAATAGTTACAGATGGAATTCAGCTTGGTAATTTGCACTCCATTCCAACCAGTGGAATAGGTCAGCCCATCATTGTAACTATGCCAGATGGACAACAAGGTGAGTTAGTTCTCTATTATTTTCATTAATTAAGAGGGAAATTGTGGTGTAGCTCCAGAACTCATGTGTCTGAGCTTTATCTTGCATTGTATTCCTCTTTTTTTTACATTGGATTTAATAATAATAATTTTAATAATAATAATTGCTAATATTTATACATAGCTCTTTAAGGTTTTCAGAGTGCTTTACAAATATTATCTTATTTAATCCTCACAACAACCCTAGGAAGTAGACACTATTATTATCCTAATTTTACAGATGAGGAAACTAAGGCAGACAGAGGTTAAGTGAGTTGCCCAGGATCACTCATCTGGTAAAATGTATCTGAGGTCAGATTGAAAATTAGGTCTGAATCTAAGTCCAGCACTCTGTCTGCTGCTTTAACTTCCTAATCACATCTTCTGTGTGGTAATGTTAAAATTTCCTTGCTTTCAATGAATATGTGTTGACAGGGGGGAAAAGTCAACCCAGAACTCTGCATGTGACAGAGAAGTCCATTTTGTGGTTTAATACTTGCTGCAGACCAGTTGACTGAGAGTTGGTTGTAGCTGGATATGAATTTCTTAGACTATTTTAAGAAATGTGTCTCCAGGAGAATGATCTGATTCTAGATTATAAGATTTATTTATTTAGACCAGACCTGTGATTTCACTTGGTGAGGATTTTCTTCTGCCAATACAAATTGGCTTCTTTTCTGTAACTTACAGTTTTTGAGAGTTGTTGGAGGCACTAAGGCTAAGTGACTTGCCCTGGGTCACAAATCTAGTCTGAAGAGAGCAGGGACTCTCTTTTTCTTTGTGTCCCCAGCACTATGTAGTGTGTGGCACACAGTAGGTGCTTAATAAACATTTATTGAAAGTTAGAACAGGAAAGTTTAGGAAGTAAAAGACTAAAGTCTGGAATTTAGCATTTTGAGGCATGTTTCTGTATAGTCTGGAATATGTGAATAAATATTTTGAAGTTACAGGTGTCAGTAATTTTAAGGATAATTTTATTTTTACTAGTATTGTGATAAACATGTCCTAAAGTAACAAACATGTACTACTTTCATTTCAGTATTAACAGTACCAGCAACAGACATAGCTGAAGAAACTGTTATAAGTGAAGAACCACCAGTCAAGAGACAATGTATTGAAATTATAGAAAATCGGGTGGAATCTGCAGAAATAGAAGTAAGGAGTCTTTTACCCGGAGTGTTTTATTAAGGTGGTCACAAGTAAACTCAGTCTTTTTTTCTTACTTTTTGTACTTATCATTGGATGTTTTCTGTTGCTGTGGAGTGAAGTTTGATAGGGTTGTCATTCTGTCTCTACTGTACTTTATTTAACCTTTGCTTTTCACAACAGAATTTGTTCACGATAGTTGATTGGCACAGGATCTTTAGTGTGGTCTTTGGTTTCTGCACTTAATCCCTTCATTAATTCCCTAATAATCTCAAATATATTCATCATTATAGGTGTGAACAAGAGATAATGTCTCTCCCTATTACAAAGAGGCTATTTTCCTGGCTTCTTTTAACAATCCCATGCTGGGTCATCACATTGTTTTGGAGAAATTCTGGAGAGAACAGCCAAATTAGCTTGAGTTTTGTCAAATAGATTACTTAAACAACTGATTATTTACTAGTAATTTAATTAACCCAATTGTTTAACTGAATTGAATTACTTTTGGAATGGAAGTTTATTCAATAGAATTCGTCTCATAGGATGTTGGATTTAGAGCAGGAAGAGAACTTAGAGGTCCTCTGGTCCAAACTCCTCATTTTGCAGATGAGGAAACTGAGGCCTAGAGAAGCTAAATGAACTGCCACAAATAGGGGATTATTTTATTTCTTCAGAATAGAAATTGTTAGGCAAGGTATAGATATGTAAGGGTCCTGTTTATTAAAATAATTATTTTCTTTCCTTTTTATTACGTAGTATGTATCAGAGTACTTTTACTTTTATAACTAGTACGTATCAATTATCTTTGTATAAAGTGATGCCAAATGAGCCATTTTCATAGGTATGTGGTTATAACAGATTGCCAATTTATGTGATCTACCTTTATCTTCATCTCTAATTTAAAAAAAAAAAAACCCAACCTTTTTTTAACAGGATTTCTTATTTAACACAATTCCATTCATTTCAGCAAACTGCCATTCCTGGAGGTATTTTAGGATTAAGTGTAATGTTTTATAAATTTTCTCTCTAAATGAATATTATCAATCTGATCTGAATTTTTAAAAAATTTCCTTTCAGTGCAGAGAGGAGGCATTGTAGCTTAGTCTATATAAAACATTGAATAGCACATCGGTAATGAAGGATTTTCTTTGTCACTGACTTAATGGCTTTGGGAAATTATTTACTCTCTCCATATTTCAAATCCCTCCATTTTGAGGTTAATATCTTTACCATAAGTATTACTTAGAGATAATATGAAGTAACTCGAGGTTTATGAGCGAATGTACATTGAGACCTTTTAGATTTTCATAAACAAGTTCATTTATAATTTATTTGTATTGAGGAAAATTATAATGAACAACAATATTAAATCAAGGTGTTATGAGTACCATGGAATAAGTTTTGAGATTCTAGTTTGGTATTATTTTCTCATTTCATTAGTGTCAATTCTTTTTACACACACACTACAAAGGCACCCACACACAATTATTCATGGAATTCAAGAATTGGAAGGGTCCTTACTGACCGTTTAGTTGAACCCATACCCAAAAAGAACCCTTCAGTGTAACAGATCTGCCAAATGATTACCCATTCTCTGTTTAAAGCCCTCTAATGAGTGAGGGGTGTAAGCCATCATTTGTCTAGGCATCCCATTTCAATTTTGGCCAGTTCTAATTGTTAGGACACTTTTCCTGATATTAAACCTAAATTTGTCTCTTCCATCTTCTACTCATAGCTCCTGATTCTGCCCTCTGGGGCCAAACAGAACACATCTACTCCTTTTTTGTATCACAGACCTTAATACTTAATACTTTTATGTCCTACACGAGACTCTTCCAGCTAAACAACCCTGGCTCCTTCAATCAATACTTTTATGACGAGGACTAAAGGACCTTCATCATCCTGGTTGTCCTCTTCTGAATGCTCTTCAGTTTATCAGTGACCTTTTAAAATTGTGGCACTCAGAACTGACCACAGTCCTGCAGATATGTTGTGAATAGGCCAAAGTTCAGCAGGCCTAGTCATTTCCTTGTTTCCAGAAGCCATGATTCTTAATGAAGCCAAGATGTCATTAGCTTTTTTGGCTGCTGTATCACACTGTTGGCTCACATTGAGTTTGTAGCCTACTGAAATCCCCAGGTCTTTCAACTTGACTTCTAAGCATGCCTCCTCTGTCTTGTATTTTGAAGTCAGTTATTGTGAATGCAGGCTTTAGACTTTATGTTTATCCCTATTAAATTTCACGATACTTGATTCAGCCCAATGTCCTAGAGTGTCAGGATCTTTTTGGATCTTGACTTTATCATCCAGTGTGTTACCTTATCCTTCCTAGCTTTGTACCTTCTTAAAACTTGAGGAGCATGCCTTCTATGCCTACGTCCAAGGCATCAATATGTCAAATAGCACAGGAGCAAAAACAAATTGCTAGGGCATTTCACTGGGACTTCCTGCCAAATTGACTTTGAACCATTAACCACTACTCTTTGAATACAAGCATTCAGTCAGCTCTGAATCCATCTTATTCGTTATGTCGTATTCTACATCTTTCCATCTTTTCCATAAGAATAGTATGACTTAATGCATTCAGATATTTTATTAATATGTAAGTAAATTATATTTATAACATCCCCCTCATCTCCAAGTTTAATGACCTTGTCAGAAAAGGAAATGAGTCGATCTTGAACCTGTGTTGGCTCTTTGTAATTACTAGTTCCTTATTTAGACATTCACTAGCTATTTCCTTAATTGATCCATACTAGAGTTTTCCTCCAAATAAAAAGCATGTTTACTGACTTAAAGTTTGAACACTATTTCTTTTCCCTTTTTTGAAAATTGGTAAGATCTCCAGTAATAGTAGTACCTCGCCCATTTTCCATGATCTTCTAAATAATACTGCCATTGGCTTAGCAATCACACCTGTCATTTCTTTCGTTACCCAAGGATGTAGTACATCTTGACCAGGAGACTTAAGTTTATCAAGGGCACGTAGGTGCTGTCTTACCATCTATTGATCTTTGGGTATTAACTTCCTATCAGCCATCTATGATTGAATGAAAAAACATTTATTAAGCATTTATTATATGCCAAGTATTGTGCTAAGTGCTATACAACAAGTACTCAAAGTAATACCTCTCCTTTGATTCCAAATCCAGTGCTTTTTTCCGCCCTACACCACTCAGAAACTTGTACTGAAAAATTATACTTTGAAAAAATTGGTGGAACTGTGTGTTTTTATGCATGCCTGAATCTCAAAGGAGTAACATTTTTAAAAATCATAGTCATTGGATGGAACAACTGAGATAATATATTTATAAAGTGTTTTGCAAACCTTAGAGTGACATAAATGACAATTATTAATTCTTTCTTTTTTTTTTTTAAAACTACCATGAATGCCCTTCTCTGTCTCCAATATGTATCCAAATCCCGCCCATTCTGTGTAGGAGGCCTAGTGCAAATCCTCCCCCTCCAGAAAGCCTTCCCTGACTACTAAACTTCTGAAGCACCAGGAGTCTATGCCACTCTAGTTAGCATTTTGTATACCGCCCTGCCCTGTTGTTTCAGCTGTGTTGGTCTTGTTTCCCTAACCAAATTGTAAGCCCTTTGTGAGCAGGGACTGTGTCTAATATTATTTCTGTGTGTTCCACAAGGCCTCGAACAATACTGAACTCACAGTAAGTGCTCAGTAAATATTTGTTGATTGAGATAGAAAAGAGAAATATTCCTGTATTTGCATTTGCTTATGAGTCAGATCAGTTTAGTTCAACCAACCCCCAATCCTCATTGGGCCCTTCTGTTGTGAAGGTGTACTTGGTACTGTATTCACTAATGATGAGGTAACATAGTTTAGATTTATTTATTTCCGGTGCTTTGGATCTTTTGCATTTGCATGTTAAACATTTGCACGAAGATTGATGAAACTTTTTTTTTTTTAGGAGAGAGAAGCACTTCAGAAACAGCTGGATGAAGCAAATCGAGAAGCACAAAAATATCGGCAGCAACTTCTAAAGAAAGAACAGGAAGCAGAAGCCTATAGGCAGAAATTAGAGGCCATGACCCGTCTCCAGACTAACAAAGAAGCAGTGTAATTGAAATGGACAATAGAGTTTGATTTTACCTTGAGTCAAGAAAAAGCATACAGTCTTGAACTGTGTACCCCCATCTAAGTACAGTCATGGGAATCCAGCATAGAGAAAAGAGACTTACAGGTTGATAATTGGACTTAAGCCATGAGCTCTTAATTTTCTTGTAACATAAACTATGAATTTAGGAGTTGTGTGAAAAGTATTTAAAACTGAATTCTGTAAATAGTTGTTTGTTTGTTTTTTTTTTTTTTACAGTTCCAAAATGAGTTGATAAACGATGGTTGAAGAGATCCAGAAACATAATAAGCCACTGTTTTTGTGAATTCCTTTTGATTTTAGTATGAATCTTAATTTCTCAGAAGCAGAACAGTTTTAAGGGTGATCCTTGTTGATTAGACCAAATATTTACATAATAATTATGTGGTGGACTGATTCTGGAATTATTTCTATAGATATCAACTAGGCCTCTACCTAAAGAGTAGATTTCTCTAAGGAAATCTTTGTATAGCTTTAAGTAGTTGTCTCAGATTATCTGAAAACATTTTTTTAGAAAGTGAAACTTTTATATTTGTTTGACTTCAGCTATATCTGAGTAGATTTACCTGTATATGAAGCAAATATTTTTAAAATTTTCAGTTTGTACATATTCTGCATGTTTTTATAATTTCAAAGTGCATCACTTGCATAGGTTTGTTTTGTTTTTTTTTTTTTTTGCAAAGATGATGAAAGTTATTAGGAAGAAAAAACTTTTAGTCTATAGGTCATTGAAATTAAGTAAGCTAGCAGCTGGTTCTATTGTAATGACAGTGTTCTTGGAAGTAGTAGTTTGCAATGTAACTTAAATTTGCAAACCCTGTACTCTCTTTTAAAATATCACATAGGGGACTTGAAACTTTGTACTCAGTGCCTTCTATCTTGACTTCCACATGAAAACATTTCCAGGCACTGGATTATAGGATAATGTTTTTGGAAAGCTGAACACAGGTGGGTTTCTGAAATATTCTCAAGGACTCATTTCCCCCCAGGAAACTAGAAAAGCCAAATATTGTCTTGGCTGTTCTTATGAAAAACATTTGTTTTTGGATGTAGGACAAGGACTTTTCATACTTCATTGATGCCACTGTTGTCTAGAATATTGCTCTTCACTATAAAAGCAGATTGTCTGTGCTGTGACTTGCTCTATCATAAAATTGTTAAATTCCATGATAGGCAAATGATTAAATTTCGACTTTGTTGTTCACTTTTGGGTTTTTTTCCGGTAAAACTTAAGTTCAGGCCTTTTTTTCTTGCTTTGCTTTTCTGTTTCACTGCTTTATGAAAATGTTTATCTAAACCTAAAAATCCTCTAGATAACCTATACTGTATAAGAAAGAAATTACCCTTAAAACTGTACTCTGGTCTACTTTTCTATTTTACAATTAAATATCTTTTTCCACATATGTTCAGTGTAGACTTAATTCTCTTTTGATCTTACTTCATTCATACGTTAAAAACTGTATGTTATTGTGTATCTGAACCATAATCGATTCTATTAAAATACTGTATAATTTTCACATCGTGTCTTAAAAGAATCTCCCGCATAAAAATGCCAGGTATGTAACTTCTTGGATCTGTCCATTCTCAGGAGGTTGTGGTTCCTTTCTGGAATTACATTATATTTATTAATAAAAATATTTATGAAATATGAATTAAAAAGTTTAGTTGCTCTATGGAAGCACTTTTAAAAGATATTAAATTGGAGTGAACTTCAGAAGCCTTCAAATCTCATGAATGAGACCTTGCAGCTTTCATTCTTCTCATTACGTTACCTAAAATTGTCTGCATTATTTCCATATATACAGTCCATATTTTCAGTAGTGGGCATTTAGGTGGTGCAGTGAATAGAGTGCCTGGCCTGAAGTCAGGAAGACCTGAGTTCAAATCCAACCTCAGATACTTGCAAGCTGTGTTTCCTTGGACAAGTCACTTAACCCTGTTTGCCTCAGTTTCCTCATCTGTA